TCTATAGGTCAACATCTTCTGATTAAGAAGGAAATAGCATAACTTACCGTCGAAAAGTTCAATAATATTTTCCTCAGAGATAACCATTGTAACATATCTGTTGAGTTCAACTTCATATTGGTTTTAGAGTCGAATGAAGTGAATGATAGAACTGAAATCAAAAAGAAGTTTGGTCTAAGATCAGAAATGCAAAATTTAATGAAAAGATAAACTGGAATCCACAGAAGAGAAAAGAAAATTGTTCAAAACATATCTGTACCAATCAACTACGTTTACGCATTTTGATTAGAAGAAACACATTATATATCTGTATTTTCAGCAAAAACATTCTTAGAACAAAAACAACTTCAAAATCTTCAAAGAAGATGGTAGTTATTAATAAAATGAACACTATAGAATTCAGCATTAAAAATATATATAATTTTTTGTTGGTTAAAAAATACAATCGAACATTCTTCTCCATATATTAATAATGATGTAGTGTAGACGAAAGAAAATCTATGATGAAATTTTTCTTAAAGTAATTAAAATGTTAAACACAAATTATAGAACTAATATACTGTTATATTTGTTTACCAAAATTGTCAGAAATAAGCAAAACCTTCTCGATACAGTGATGATTTGTTTCAATCTGATTCTGGAGTACAAAAAAATAGCTAAATCAGATAAACAAATAAAAATAGATGAAATATGAATAGAAAATTCATTTCATCTTCATAGTCTAAATATATAAAAGCGTTCTCGATTATTGAGAAAATCGCTCAATAGAGTATAATAATATTTCACGAAATAAAAGAAAAAAATGATGAAATAGATCTGTTGAATACACTAAAAAATCATATTTCAAAAAAAGGTTTTGTACAGAACATTTTAAAAAGATTTCATAATGAGCGTCTTGTGAATTATTTATTCTCAACAAACCATTTTATAGTTTCGTATTCTAACTGATAAACTTCAAAGAGTTCAACTGAACTGTCAGAACCTTCTCTAATTTAGTATCATCAAACAGAGAACCTTTTGACGACTACTTACTTTTTTGAAGAAATCTAAAAGGTTTTGTGAATGGTTCAGTACCACAAATACTTATGCAAAAGTCCTCTCTTTCTTAGACAGAAGTTCTGATGCTGTTTGATACTGATCGACTTTTCGAACACTAAAACGAACATCATAGTATGAATACTGACGATGTCAATATCAAATTGCAGAAAATGCAACGGCTGTCGGAGTCGACTTCATAATTTCAACTCGAGCATCTTCTTCTCTAACAGCCAATGGTACATAACGAACCACAACGAAGAAACAGTTAGACTACGAGTGAGACTTGAGAAATTCCATCTTTGTATCATCATTTTCATTAGACTAAGAACAATTAAATAGAGTTAAAAAGTCATTCCTATTACCTACCTCAAACTTGAATCGTCGGTCATCGGCTTGTATACACATCGACAATTCTTTAATAGGAAGCTGGTTATCACTATGAAAGGAGATGACAGTTAGATGGATACTGCTCGTTCCATTATGCTGATGTTTGAGAGATGGTAAAGATGAGATGAAATTTTGATGGCATCGTGGGTTGCAAGATAACTGATCGTTATTTATACGGCGTATCGTCATACGTTTATATTTATTACCAGTATGTGATTGAAACTGTCATGTGCAGAACGTCTTCAGATGGATGTAGAGATAGTGATGCTTCGCTGTTGGCTGACTGCGAGGAATATTTTCAACTGTTATTATTGGTGATTTATGAATGATGAATAGCTGATACATTTTCTCGCGATAGAAGAGTAGAAGAAGAATAATCTAATGAATGATGATTAGCCGGGCATGGTGGATGAAATAAGCACTGCTTATGAACAAAATGTTGCGTTGGTCGAGTATAGATAAGACCAATATGATAAAATACTTCGATTGAAAAGAGATTGAAAATTGCTGCTAGATTAGAGAGGAGGATTAAGTTGAAGTGCATTTTCAGCTTCCAGTCGTAAGTAAGAGAGGGAAAGTGGAAAAGTAGTGGTGAATGAATATCAATGGATCACAAAGAAGAAAGAAAATAATGTGACTTATCACTAGAATGTGAAAAAGAAGAATAATTTACCCATCTTAAAATGAAGTCGTTCTTCCTTCCCATGACTTTATCAATAAACATAAAATAAAAATCGATATCTGCATAATGTTTATTGAATATCACGTTTTATTTTAAATGAATGTCAATAATGAAAATAAATTGATAAAGACATAAAATATGTCTTCTTTTTTCTAGTATTTCGCAAAAGAAATATGCAGCTATTCAGTTGAGTGTCATCATTTTGAACGTTCATTGTAAAAAAAATTACAAGATATGAAACTTCGTAGAGTCTACTATCAACTGATTGAAGTTTCTGAAAATCACGGACATTGTTTAAGTGATATTTACGTTCACTTTTTCGATGAGTTTTTGTTGCATCGGAATGAACTTGTTCTTTGGTAGGACTTATAGAGAAGTTACTAATTTCAGGGCGCCCATATAATGAGAAATTTCAGTAGGGTATCCATTATGGGTATTTTGAAAACTTTCATCAGTTATACTGAGGCAGGTACTATGTCGAGTATCCACATGAGTATATTTACTGAGTAAGTATTTATGTGGATACTTAAATCAATAAAATTACTAAAGAAAGCTCAACAGAGTACCTTAGTTTTGATTTTTTTTAAATAACGGGTTGTATAAAAAAGGCACACTACTGTACTTAAGTAATAATTGAACTGTATGGATTGAAAATCATTTTCTCGAATTCCTATTAACTTTTTTAGAAAATTTTGGCTATTTTGAATGGCGATTACATCAATGGATGTAATAGACATAATTGAATTTGCGGTTGGTATATTCTTTTTCTAAAAAGAGGGACTACCTGTATAAACAAAGAAAGAGCTATATTGCATTACAAAAAACAGCGAAATTTATTAAATTTGAAAAGAAATCTTTTGTTTTATAATAACCACTATCTTAGCCGAAACGAAATAGCACAATAGCAAAGATTCTCAATCGCTCGTAGTACAATATTGATGTATTTTTACATTCTTTTTTATATTACTATTTTCTTCCGTCATTGTCCTGAACGTATAAGTACATTTTATTTTATTTCTCATTATGAAAATTCTTTATTAGATGTCTTGTATTTTCTGAACAAAAAGTAATACTGAACGAAAATGATACATGTGTGTTGCAAAGCGTGGTCATTAGTAATTAATAACTTGTCATCTGCATATGGTGTATTTCAAATCGATGACAATCACAAGACACGACAAAAAAATTCTGCTTACGTTTGATCAATCCAGTGAAGACTATAATATCGATCTTGATGAATTTCTCCGTTCAATCGCCGTAAGTTACCAATATAAAATTTAAACTGGTAGTATTTTCATCAATAAATAATGCTTGCGAAATAATTATTAAGCTATTTCATCGATTACATTTAGAAGAAAATAAAACAATAATTTTATTACATGGCATACCTTCTTTACTACAAAACGATAATAAGTTGCCAAGAACATTCACAAGATTAATGAAAATTCTTCGTTGATAACACTTAATTTTACTTGACAAAATTAATTTATTCATATTTCGTTTAGGTATAAACAATACTAAAAAATTTGTGTGTTATTTTTCAAGACCTCATCTATTTCCACATACCTCAAGAAATGTTTTATTCGCTTGATTGTTGGGGTGTCGATGTTTAACTGTAGGTGTTGTTTTCTCACTGGAACTCATTTTACTTTTTTCAGCATTAAAACTATACAAAAGAATGTTGTAAACAAATCTATGAATGGTAGTTATGCTTTGATTTTTTAATGAAATATTTCTTTAAAAAAAACTATGCAGCCTGTGTATCAGAATGAAAATATTGGTCCAACAGAATTTCCTTATTTGAAATGAAAAACTAGATTGAATTACTTTGTCTGATTGATGGTTAGAGAAGTAACTGAAAATGTGAATTTGATCGGAGAAACAAAAGCACAAGAATTATGATGAGGAGAAAAATAATAATAGTGATAATGCACAACGAATGAAGTATCGTCGAGGTGAAGGTTGCTCAAACACGAATGACATACGAAAGCCATCGTTGACTAGCAGATACTGGTTGGTAAGAAAGGTAGGGCAGCTAAATCCAATGATGTAATGACTGAATACCCCATGTGCACATTATCCAATAAAACAACGTAGTCGATTTAAATATTAATATATACAGGAACATTTGGCAATAGAATCATTGATTGGAAAAGCAGAAGCCCATAGAAATAAAGTAATAAAAAATAATGATGACATTTTTTTCTTTGACATGCATCAATGAATTCGATTTGTGGAGTACTTCGATGAAATGGGATCAATCAAAACTACCAATATATATATATAGATTCATTCTTCATATTGTGTTGTCTTTGTGGATTTGATACATAATTGTTTCAATGAAAAAAAAGTTTTTGAAGTGTTTGAAAGTCTTTTCCATATGAAGGAAAAAAGCTTCTGCTTCGAGTTTCACCTTTTATAAATCTTGTTTTGTTCAAATAAAAACAATAATCCTAAACTTCATATATATTTCTGTAACTTTTAAATTGTATTGTTCAGTCAGAAAAAAAATAACTACTTAAATGTAACACTCCGAATGAATCATCGAAAGTCTACCTATTCCCATAAAGTTGATTTAACAATCAGATATTCATGAAATGTATTTTGATTTGAAAAACAAACTAAATAATATAACAAGATTACATTGATTTATTTCAATTACTGTTTTGTTTTATTTATATATATGAGTCACTAAAATTTCTGTGTTATAATATAATAGATGGACACGATCATTGTGCAAAAGAAGTGAGAGCGAGAGCGAAGAAGAAAAATGTCAAATAAAAAGAAAAAAAATTAGTTAAAAGTAGCACCGACAACAACGACGAATGATAAACAAAAGAAAAAAAACGAAAAAGATGAAATACTTGTTTTTGATTTAAATAAATTTTTATCATTAAACAAGTGAAAGAAAATCGAGATGAAGTTCAGATGGTATATCCAATTGATCAAGTGAAACTGTTGATGGAACATAAGGATATACAAGTGGAAATGTATAGGAAAGATCAAAATTTTCTTGTTGTTCATAATCAATTTTTGCTTGATCTTTTGTTGAACCAAGTCTTTGTTGCTTTAATAAATCAGATACTCGTTTAATTAATGCTGGAGTTACTTGATCATCAAAATCATCCATTGATTTATACAAACTTAATAATTTTGTTACCTAAAATAAGTAATTAAATTTATTCAATGTTTATTTTAATTGCAAAAATTTTTCTTTACTTGAACAATTGTAAGTTTTGTACAAACATTACTAATGCTGACTTCATCTTTTTTACAGAGAAATAATTGAACAGCTTGTGTTAATGGAAGAAGACAATCAGCAGCACCACTTTCTTGTAAATTTTGATCACGTAACCATTCTGTTAAATGATTCAAGTTATATCTAAGAGAAACAAAATAAATCGCTGTTTTATTTATGTTTTATAAGATAAAATTTACCGAATTTGCAGAGCTTTACTCCAATTACAACAATCACTTCGTACAAGTAAACCACGAAAAGCCTGGGCATTAATGATATAAAAAATCTTAAATAAAAACCAAATAGATTATTTCGATTTTGAATAAAAACAATAATAGACAAACTTGTTTGAATAGTTGTTGAACAATAACTGGTTCAACTGAATACATTTGAACTAATTTGTGATAATCATTTAACTAAATAGAATTTAATAGAATTTTTCTTATTAAAAATTTTAGTACTTGTTTAAGAAGATCTTGTGCTGAAAATTTTGATCGTTTATCGTTCGACATTGATGCAGATGTCATTGAATTGATGGATACAATGCTACCTGATTCAAGATCTTCATGTTCAATTATAGCAGGAACTAAATAATAAAAAAAATTAATAATCCAGCATTCTATTATTAAATAGAACTAATAATCTTACTTATCATTGGTAATAATTTAGCTTTAATTCGTTTAAGAATTTCATCATATAAATGAACAACAAGGTCGGCAAATATAGTTCGATAATCAGTTAAATCAAAATTTCTTAATGCTTGTTCATTTTGTTTTGGTGTATTTGTAGCTTGATATTTCTTTTATAAAAATTTATTTATTTAATTAATTATATCAAATAACAAAAAAAAAACATACTTCTTCACCACTATATTGTTGTAATATATGAAGAAATCGAACTGTATTTGTTGTCCATAAGATTGGATAATCAATATCTTCATTTCTCTATAACAATTCAAGTAAAGTTTGGGTTTTTGTTAATATCTATCAAAACAATAAACGTTAATTCTTACTCTTGGAACTTTTTTGATTTTTTTGGTTACAGCTGATAAAAATCCAGCAACATGTGCTTCATCATCAACAAAATCAATATATCGAATACACATAAAAAGTATATAAGCTGGAATTCCAGGAATGTATTTTGCAGCCAAACGAGGTTTCAAATCTACATAGTAATATATATTTATTAGATTTTTAAAAAACATATTGTCTAATATAAAACAAACCAAGAATGACGGAATCAGTAATTCGTTCAGTTTCTGGTGGAGTACATTTAATCATTCCACTCAAATGTCGTATACTTTGACGACGAAGATCAACATTTCCTGTTACATTTTCAGCTGTTGTTGTTGTTAATGGCGTAGAATGTGAAGCATCGATTTGACCAATATAGGAAGGGGCACCACTTATTGATCCATTTTGTAGTACATGCTCCCAAGATACATTTCCTATTTTTAATCAATAAAAATTATGTTTTACTTTATTTTATTAAAATAAAAATATTGAGCAACTCTAAAAGAAAGATTTTGTTTAATATGCTTTGCGTGTAGAAATATGCAAAACTAAAATTTGAAGATTTGTCGGGACTGCAGACAAGAGAAATTTTAGAGACTTGAACCGAAACTGAAGATTATAGTTAAATATGAGCAAAAAAAGTACTACTTCTCAACTAAGTCAATCCGAAAACGACAATTGAAGATTTTTTTAGGTCGGATACAGACATAATTCTAGTTTAATTTTCTCGAGATCAGGATCGCGGTCAAAAATAAGATGGTTTCGCACATTTCTGCTGGCAAGTTATAATTGTATAAATAAACTTTTGATCAGATCAAGTAAAGTCTTATCGAAAAAAAGACATTCTATGATTGAGATATGATCATGTTTATAATCAAAATAAGTTCAATAAGTAAATTCTCATGTTTTGAAACTTTTAATAGAATCTTTTGCACAAAAATCGAGTTATATTTTATGTTTTCAATGATAAGTATCGTGAAAATCTACTGAAAAGGCTCTTCTTTTTCCAAAGGGTCAAATTGCAAATAATAATAATAAACTGATAATAAAAGTTTAGCGATTTGAATTGGTCAAGGGACAAATTCTATCAAATAATCAATCATTGAAAAACTTTGAACTATTCGAAAAGAATTTTGTTAACTATGAGTCACAAAATATATTGACAAAAAACACAGAAGATTTCCTATTTGAAAACAAATTTTGGATAAAAACGACAATGACTAATACTCATTTCAAAAAAGAAAAAGTGTGAGTATTTTTTGAATAAGTTTTGATAGAAACTAGATAGAGAAATGCGGTTTTCACCGTTTAAAGGAGGAGATGAAACTGCATCGAATAGTCTAAACTAGATTTTTCTGACAAGTTTTCTCAGAGTCTCTTACCAATTTTTTCAAAAAATCTAGGCTTTTGTATAAGTTTATAAGATGGATTTTTTCGTTGAAAAATGAGAAAAAAGGTCAGTTTTCTATGAAAAATCTGCCGATAACATGCAGTATAATGTGCATAACTCATGATTGGCTAAAACTTACAACATAGGACTTACAGATTTTATAGATGTTCAGTTAACGATGCTAGTGGACTCCTGAAAATTGCGATCGTAAAACTTTTACGTTAGACAATCTTTTGTGTTTAACAAACTTGATGGTAGACTCTGAGAAAACTTGTTCAAGAAAAACTGGTATAGACAGTTCGACGCAGTTTCATCTCCTCTTGTAAATGATAGAAACCACACCTCTCTACCTAGTTTCTATCAAAAGTTATTCAAAAAATACTCAAACTTTTTCTTTTTTGAAATGGGTATTAGTTTTTCTTCCATGAGATATAACAATAAAATAACTAATCGTAAAAAAAACGAAAGTTCTCTAGAATCATCGATTTAGAAAAGTTTCCAAAACTTGTGAAGTATTTATCAATTATTGAAGTAAAAATTTCTTCCTATTAGTTATAAAATAAAATTTTGAAATAACCTGCTGAAAAACTTTTATTAACAAGTTTGATAACACGTCTTAATTTTCGAATTTCTGCATGATTATTTTCAATTTGTTGATGAAGTTCCTAAAGAAAAAACAAAAATGATCTGATTAGTTAATAGAAATGAATAGAAATGTGAAAACAGACAAGATTTTCATTGATGACACTAGCTATTTGTTGTTTCATTGAATCATCAACTGTATCTTCATCTATTGATTTATATAATTCAATATTTTCTGCTTCAAGTTGTGCTAAACGTTCTTGTGTTCTATCATATTCACGTTGATATGATGTTCGACATTGTTCAAGTTCAAGTTCAAGCATTCTATTTTTTTTTTGAAATAAATAAACAAATTAAAATCAAAAAAAAAGTCAAAAGAATATTTATACTTGTTTATTTGTTTTTGGCTTTGATAAGCTTGTTCAATAGCATCAGCTGCAATAACATCATCTGTTTCATTCTCATGTTGCATAACACGTTCTTGTAATTTTGATTTCATTTCAATTTGTTCACGACGACGATGTTCTAATTCAGCATTTAATGCATCGAACTGAGCTAAAATAAAAGAAAGTTATTAGATAAAAAAAAGAATAATTAAATCAATTTTTACCTAGTAATTGTTCTTTAGCAGCTTTTTCATCACCTTTAAGTACTTGTTCTCTTAATGCTTTTAAATCATTTTTTAATTTTTCCATTTCTAATTCATCTAAATGCCATGAAGAATTTTTCTTAATTGTTCCTAATTTTGATGAATTTGTTATTCCTTTCTCAAATTCTTCATTCATTAGTTTATTTTCTTGTTCAAGTTGTTTAAGACGTCGTTGAAGACGAAGAAGAAGACCACCACCACCTGTTTCACTAATATCTTCTAATGTTTCATTTGTTTGCGTAGTTGATAAATAACGTTGATGATTATTAACAGTAGATGAATGAAGAGGAGGAGGACGACGTGGGGTTAAACCATCATTGGTCAACGGGCCTTGATCCTAATACAAAAGTAAATATATGTATTAATCAGTAGTATTACAATCATCATCATCATCGTTAGAAGATTGACCCACATAACTTAAATTACGCTACGGAGTCAAATAAAATGACATCACTAAGTTTTTTATTATTTCTTTTATAGACTAACTATATAAAATCCATTGAAGAATTTAATTTAATTTGATAAAGAAAAAATCTAATGTATGTACTTTGAGCTGAATACATGTTAACTACTGCTGGTAAGGTCACGAAAAGAAAAATAGAACAAGAGTCTTTTCTCCTTTGTTTTTGTTTTGATTACTTGTGGGAATTAATTAATCTGAAATCCCTCCCATAGGTTTAAAATTTCGTGATGTTTATTTTCAAATAAAATTTCTTGTATTTAAATATGTTAAATATTAAAATGTAGTTTTTAATCGAAACATCGATCAACATCTTAATTAAATAAAAAAACAAAATGAGGGTGATTAATTCTACCTAAAAACAACATATTTGTGAGATAGAATTCATCCATGGTTAAAAATATTATTTTGGACAGATTATTCTAATGGTTTCATTGGTATCAGTGGAATGTAATCTCACTAAAACTATTAGAAAAGTCTTTTAACGCTTTTCTTCATAGATCCTAGATTTGAACTCTTTATTTTCTGACATTCTAATTATCACAAACATGCGATCTTTAGTGTGAAAAATCAAGAGTCAACACATCTACTATTGGCAGGATATTTAATCTTAAAAAAAAAGTTATCTTTTAAACCTTCATAATGAAATATGATCATATTGGAAACGCTGACTATTTTCAGATCGAAACAGTAAATAGTGATTTCTTTCGGAATAAATTGTTGGAGACTAGTAGGAAAATCATAGCATACGAGCAAATTCGAAGAAATATTGATAAATAGAAACTTGTTGAAACATTCCTCTCGTTTCACCAAAATCGATTTGTGCTCTGAATATCGGGTCATGATTTCTAACTATTCAATAATAATTAATTCATCAAGTTTGAAGTAAAAATTTAAATGCTATATTGACATTTTAAGCAGAAGACAAGTAATAGGCTCGTCCTTCAAAAAGGGTTAACCGATTTCTCTATCTCTTGCGTGCACACATAGTATCGACTCTGAATAATTCTAATTAGATTTATAATATTTACAGGTAAATCATAGAGATCAAGTGTATCCATAAATTTAGAATCCCAAGTCATATTTGAATCCGATGGTACTGGTTTCATTGTGTTAATATTTCCATTTTGTAATTCACTTTGAAGATTTTCACATTTTTGTTCTAATCTATGCATTTCAATAACAAGTCTTTGTCTTTGTTGTCTTTCAGCATTTAATTCTTCTTCAAGTTGTTTAACACGAGTTAAGGATAAATCTTGTGTTGATATATCTCCAACTAATTGTTCTTCTAATTTTGTTATTTCTTTTGTTTTATTTTCAAGTTCAGTTTGTAATTGTATAATTAATTCATTATTTTTTAAGATAATTTCATCTTTTAATTGTTTTGTTTGCGTTAAATCAGAACGTATTACTGCATTATCGGATTTAAGACGTTCATTTTCTGATCGAAGTCTAATAGAAAAAATAAAAAATTCTTAAAGATTTTCAAATAAAAAAAAACACTTAGATTATCTTACTGTTGAAGTTCTTCTTCTAAAGTTGATTGTTTTTTCAAATGTTGTTTTAATTCTTTATTTTGAATTTTTAATTGTTCATGTTCTTTTTTTAAATTTTCAAATTCTTGGTCTTTAAGTGCTAAACGTTCATTATCTCGTTTTTGTTCATCAATTTTATGTTGTAATGATATAATTTTATTTTCTAAACCTTTATTTAATTGTTTTTGATGTGCAATAGAACGTTGTTCAACTCGAAGTTGTTTAACTTCTAAACAAGCTTCACGTCTACGTTGATGTGATTGTAAAAGAATAATAGCATGTTGAAATGTAAGAAATCTACGACGTGCAATCCACATACGTATTGATGATTGAATTGTAAGAACACTTCGTTCAATCATTCTTTGTTGAAGATTTTGTCGAACTAAATAACCTCGACAACGTGATTGAATATCAATAACAATAATACGAAGTGCTTGAAAACTACGAAAAGCTAATTGCATACGCCATAATGATTGAAATAGAGTAACAACACGTGTACGACGAATATCTTCAGCATGTTTTCTAGCTAAATATCGTCGTGATAATGTTTGAAGTGCAAGTGTTGTACGTCGAATTTTCAAATAACGTTTACGAGCATAATAACCACGATATGTTGTTTGAATTTTAATAGTACAAGCACGAAGTTTTTCTGAACGTAATTTTTCTAAATAGGCAACTTGTCCAGCACGAAAAAATATTTTTGTATTTCCAAATTGATATTTATCTTTATCAGAAATTAAATTTTTAAGAATATTTTCACATGTTCGACGATAATTTGTACGATCAATTAATGATGAACGAGCTAATAAACGATAACGAACAAAAAAATCATGATAAGTCCAACGAGATGGATAACCAGCAGCACTTATGCGAACAGTTTCTAAAACACCACATGCACGTAATTGTTGTACTGCACGACGAGGTTCAAATCTATAATATAGTTTTGTTTTGTTTTTTATCGATAGAATCAATCAGAAATTTAAAATATAAACTTACGTAAAAGGAGCTTTTTGGTCATTAGGCTTTATACAACGAACATAATGAGGTTCAGTAGCATTTAATGCAGCCATTAAGCTAGTTAATGATTCACGAAACTAATAAAAATAAATAAATAAAAATATATTATTTATTATTTATTTTTGAAAAAAGATTTCAAACAATCCAGAAACACAACACAAATAAAAGATATGTTATAGCAAGAAGTTTTTTTTTGGTTACTGAAATCTCAGTATCAGTAATTCTTTAAGACAAAAGATATAAGAATTCTGTGCTTAAAACAAAACATAAAGTAGTATTGTGATGAGAAAAGGTATAAAGTGTGTTTGGATTTACACTTTATTTAACATTAGCAAAATAAAGTACGTTTACAAAACCGACCTGTGTACCAAGTGAAAGACGCTGAAAAAATTCATATTGATCAAAACTATATGCCTATTTATATAAACTTACTTGAGTTGCAACAGTTTTCTTTCTTTGTGCTTGAACTTTTGATGTTGCTTGTAACGTCCCTGATTTTTGAACTTGATGAGATTTAGTTGATGTTGATGTTGTTGATCCACTTTTTGAATCATCTGTTTCGAGAAATAGTTGAACAACAAAATCAAGCTAAAAACAAAAAAAAAAAAGATTTTAATAAGAAATAGAAAATGAAAATAATATTACTTCGCTCTCTTTTAACATTTTTAATTGATCTTCAAGTACAGTATCACGATTTTTTTCAAGAAATCCATCAATAGAATATTCAACTTTTTCAGCAAAATGATTTATAATAAATGTTGAATTAGCTGTTAATTTTTTTGTTAAAAAATCTGGATGTTTTCCATGTTGAGTAACTATTTTTCTATGCCAATTTTCATCTGATCCTTTAGGCATCTATAATTTGATTTTATTTATAAATAATAGAAGAGAGAAAAAATCAAATCAAACTATACTTTGCATTCTTCATCTAATAAATCTAAAATTCCTAATTTACTTTCAATTAAATCAATACATGGTTGATTATCATAAAATTGAATAAATGACCAAGTTATTTGTTCTTTCATATATTCTTCTTGTTCAAGTTTAAATACATGCTATTTTAAATAAAGAAATTTATTTTCAACTAAATTAAATAGATTTTTTTTTTGTTTCTTACTTGACAAAATTGTTGTTGTAATTTTTCATTTGCATAATTTATGCAAAATTGTTCAAAACTATTCATTTCGAATGTTTCAAAACTAAAA